ATAACATTTTGTGAAAAAGTGGACATGTTTTTTTTTAACTTTGACTATTTTCGGTGACGTAATCACTTTAACGTACACATTACTGATTACTTTAGCATAAAACGTATTAGGAGTTCCTGCAGTTATAGACTTACAACAGTGAATGAACAGCAAACGTGCGCCTTCTATCTTCAGATTCGCGATAATAGAATGTTCAAACGGTCCTACAAAATAAGTGCTAGCAAATACGTTCTTACGTGACGCAAATATTTACAGACTGTTATCTATCTCGAAATGTATACAAAGTAACTAACCTATAGTGTACAGAGGTCCGGTCTCGCTAGCGTAAAAATCACGCGCTACGTTTGCATATTTGCATGTTGCATGCTATTTGCATGTTGACATATATATATATGTCAATCTAACTTGAAATGGAGATCGGTGCCCATAACCTCATAAAGAATAGTCTTCAAGGGACTATAACGAAGACGGAGAGACAAGTTGATCAAATCGACGGATCAACACTGCAGATCGCAGTGGATGATACATATCAAGAGTTAATAATAGAAAATTCTATTAAGAATGTTCTATTATTGACTATTGATATATTGATACAAAATGATACATATTCCAATAATAATATCTCCACATATTGGTGGAATGAATGATGTGCGAGTGTTCTATGACATCAGGAGTCTATCAATATTAATATTGATATTGATAGACTCCTGATGACATGTTAGCCTTACTATATACATTTGGTGTTATGCAAGGAGTGCCGGTAAGTATCACAACGGTTGAGAAAATATGAAAACGGTTGGTGAAAACATGAGAAATCCTCGCTCTAACATCATCTCCAACTTTTACTGATTGACCGCACCTTTCTCTATAGGCCTACACTGCGCAACATCACAATGATTCTGTCAACGGTCTAGATGGTAACCCTAATTTTGTTCGTGAATTATTAAACACTGTGCCAGGAAGGCCGATAGCTTAGCGCTGTCTCTCTTCGTCTTCGGTATAGACCATTGGACTTTGAAGACGAGGTGAGATTATCTCTCATCGATCATCAAGGCGAGTAGTTTTTCCTTTTTTATTTGACTTGATTGCGCTTCTGTGCAAAGGCACTACTTTTTTAAACAAGAAGACATAATCAGTGCAATTGCGTCGCTAATGTTCAGGTGTAGCAGAACCATGTATTAAACGTTTCACCAGGCGGTAGACGTGCCATCAAATAACGCAGAGCTCAGCTTTTTTGATCTTTTGCTTGCTATTATGATGCTAAATAAATACGGCAACACCTTAGGTGGTTGTACAGTATTATTTATTTACCAATTCTTTCAGCATTAAATTGTACTCGTTAACATCATATTACATTACGTTATATTATACATACATTTATATACCGATACATTTCATTACGTTTCACCTATCTAGCGAACGTTTGCCTATATCAATAGTTCGTAGTCTTTTTCGCGAAGGTCCCTTCGGCAGTTAGAAAATTTTCTTACACTGCCAAAATCTTACGTAACACTAGTTCTATGTCTTACAATTAAAGACAATATAATACCCTATTATTCTTATATTTTCCAATTAAAACTCCACCAAACAAAGATTACAGATAACAACACCGAAAAGGTCGGAAAATATAGGTTTAGTAACTTTATAATTAAACGGCAATTGAACAATCCAATATGTTTGTACCCCCAGAAAAGACTCGCCGGAGCGCACACGCTCGTGTGATCTTCATAAACCCAGAAACTCCTCCTGCTCTTCCTCCCCTTCTCCCCAACTACGCGCACTACTACTATTTCTACCATTATAACTACTACATATAATAATAATAATAATAATGATAATAATAATAATAATAATAATTGGATATGCTGACCCAGGAGACTTAGGGGAGTGAACGTTCCTACCCTGCAGCGTTCCAGGTCTCCCATAGGCAAGGCGTGTAACTTGTTTAGCCCGCTTACAACGAAATCCATGTATATACTCTGGCGTGAGAAACACGTACAGACAGGAAAATTTAGACACAACCAAACTAACTAAGCTTAAGAGAGATATCGTGAAGAACGACAGACTTACTGCTTTATAACTTTACATCATGAGAGAGAAGAGAAGCAGACAAACAATAATTCTAGGCATTCTAAATTAAGGCCCTTCCAAAAAAACAAATGCGGCTTATGAATACAAGCTCCCAGATATAGATCATACAGAAGAAATTATAAGCAAACAAGAAAACTCGCAAGACGAGCCTTAAACCCGTCAAACCACAGAGATGATAGAAAACGTTAAACATGAATGGGAGGCCTTCAAGGAAACACCCGTATATGAGAAACCACCTATACCTAATATCAGGAAAGACCGTCATATCATGGGCGTAATTAAATGCGATAATAAAGCCAGCCAAAATTGATAACATGTCACACAATAACACCAATGTTCTTTATATCCTACTACTACCTCCATTGATGTTAGTCAACTTATACAAATAATAACCTCAGCAATAATAGAAACACTCGGTAAAAGATCTAGACAACAACAGAAACAGGAACGAAAACTAGCCGGCTTTAAACGAAAAATATCAAGAAATACGAAATCAATTAAAATAAAATAAATCTAAAGAGGCGCATATCACTTAATGAAGTAGAGAATGGCTTAAATGGCAAAAAAATGATTGCTATCAGAACGAAATAGCTCTCAAGTTACTGAATTAAAAGCTTTCGAAATACAATGACTTAGTAATGACTAGAAAAATAATTATGCGTGACTGAGAAATCGAAGTAGGCAAAGTATGAATACTGAGACAATACCAATGGTGTTTGTAGCACTTGGGCTTGTATAGAATAACCTAGAGATGTTTAACACAAAGGTCCCAGAGGTCGTCAACGCAGCTATGTGATCTAGAAGATGGTCCTGCTTGAAACGGCCTGTATTCTAACATCGGGTCTCTTAATTAATGAAGTAAAATATCCATACAATGCCACATGACGTTTGGAATTAACCCTATAGGTTATACTTAATTAACCATTAGGATAATAATAATACTGAAAATAATTCATTATTATAATTAATAATAATAATAATATTATTATTATTAAATAGAAATGATGATTAGATGTCACAAATAAAGATATGCAATGTTCCTTTTCATTCCACATCCGTTTTATAATATTTTTTACCAGACATTAAATAATTGTAGCAACGTTTCTATAGCCAATACAGGCTTGTAAATCATTACACATCTGCACTGATGTGAATTATGTGTTAAAGCAATGAGTTGACGCTTTTTTCCAGTCATGCAATGTAGCTTGCCTTCTGTGTCTGTATGCAGCCGCAAAATAGCACAGATATTAGGTGAATGCTGGGTTGTGGAATTGATCTTGCTGCTAATAAATGTTGTTTTCGTCATTCATCTTTGCTTCGTTTAGTCGTTTCTTAGCAGCCAGTAGGTGTGTATCCTCTCACCGTCCTATCAAGATGAGCACAACCATGTAGAATAGTATGAGCTGCATTTAGATAGATATACTATAACTTATTTTACACTCATAGAAACGTCTTTTATTAGTAATAACAACGAAGTGATATCAGAATGTTTCATAGATGGTATATGTATATTTAATTATTTAATATATTATAAGACGGGGCAATCAGGCAATACCTTAAGGTCCACCTCGCCTCTGTGATCAAACTCATAGAATCCTGTTCTATTGAGAGCCCTATATGTTCGCTCACTGATATGGATTTTTAGTGCTGTAACAGATAATAGATTATATATATATACATGCTCAGTAACTGCTTTGCACTATGAGTCTTCTTCACTTGAAAATAGAACGTTATTCTCGACAGTTTGGAATTAGGACTACGCTGTTAAGTCGTGAAATGTCAACCTAGATAGAATGCCTTCGTTGTTGTAAATCTGTGCGCAAATACATTAGTCGTTGCCGAGACTAACTTTAATGGAAAAGACTTCATTCAGTGAGGCAACCCAGTAAACCCCTTCTATCTCTAACATGCTTTGTTTTTGCGTTACGGTTTATTTTTTTGTTATTGACCCAGCATTAACAATACATGGTATTATAATATTAGTCATATAAGCCAGTTCGTAGTTACAGTCTGCGCATGCGCGAACTTTGCCACTAATTCTTCCGGCGTTCAGGTCATTTGTTGACAAAATAGTTAGTATCTTCGGACGCCACAGTACAACATACGCATGATCTGTGTCGATGTAATATGCTAAAACAGTCTTCTGCCGGTTGTGCACGCTAAACAACGTGCCGTGCTGTCGCGTGCGTGTGCACGACAACGTTCGTTCGTGCGTGCGTGCGCACACGTGCCACCGCTGCACACGTTGCGTGCGTGCGTCGAGTGCGTGCGTGCGTGCGTGCGTGTGCAAGTACACGTGGCGCGCGTGCGTGCATGTGCCATGTACACGTGCGTGAGTGCGTTCGTCGTACACTGTGCGTGCGTGCGTGTGTACGACACATGCGTGATTGCGTGCGTGTGCAAGATGGGCCTGAGATAAGAGACTTTGCGTGCAACGCCGCATCGCGCACGATATAAAAGGGACCGCGCGGCGTGCAAGAGAAAAGACCTAAAATGCGTATTAGTGACAGTCACAAATTCGAATTAATATCTATCCATATATTCCATTTTTTAAAAGTTTTTGGGGGGGGGGGGGGGAACAGCTCATTTAAATCAACTAATCAGATACAACATTTAATTTTTTTCTCAGCGCAATCATGGGCATGGAATTATTAAAAAAACACTAAAAATGATTAAATGATAGACACAATGGTATTTAGGGACACGTTCACAAATTCGAAATTAATGCTATCATATATCCATTTAATGACTATCATATATTTCATTTAGTGACAGTCATTAAATCAACCAATCAGATACAACTTATTTTTTCTCAGCCAATCATAGGCATGGAATTATTGACAAACACTAAATGATTTAATGATAGATACTAAATACCATTTGTGTCCTACCTCGCCTGCCATACACGTACACATGCGTGCGTGTACACGTACACAGAATACATGTACATATACGTATTGAACCGAGAGCGCACGCCACACTCGAGATTTCATCGATTTTTGTCACAAATGACCCGGTGACCTGGGACGTCACACAACCCCTTGGCTAACTACGAACTGCCTTATTGAAGAAAATCGATTTAGACGCCTAAGTTAGACGCTATGTAAGGAAAACCCTGACAGAACGGTAACCTACGTAATCCAGTCTGCTCCATGCGTGCAGCGATAGCGACCGTATCTCCCACGAGGCAATACCGAGGCATCTTCTGTCCTACGACGCCAGCAACCACTGGGCCTAAATAGCAGAGACGAAAGAGAAAACGCAAAATTCAATCTAAGAACTTATTTGTACTGCTACATTATATTAAAATTTGTTTCTAATGTTATAGTTGATAATTATTGATACTAGATTTTTTTTACATATATCGCAGTACAGGTTGAAACTACGTAAGGAACACGAACCTGGATGTGGGGACGTAGTGCGCCGCGAACGCTAAGAGTTATACGATCTTAACACAACGAAATGGCAACGAATTTAACGAGTTTATTAGAACAAAGTTATTTGAGACTAGGATCAGATCTGTTCCCCATAATGCCGATTCGGATATTTAATATACGGTTTTCATGCGTCTAGTGTAATCGTTTACCGGAATGGACACCGATACGGAGTTTCAGCATCGCGTTGCTCTTAGGAACCTTGAGTCGTCTGACGGCATCGCGCATTTCCAGCGCCAGATCGGCAATCTCCGTGAAATGTCGATCGGCATTTCGCTTCGGAAGGCCCGAGGCGACCATGTACGCGTCTCCTAAAAATGTTCAATGTAAAAATTTTCAAGGTTACAATCATTACATATTGCTTCCTTTTACGTATTTTACAATTAATTAATTAATATGAATGTTTAATATAATGAATTATCAGGTTGCAAAAAGCAATTTGGGGTGTGAAGCGTGAATCGGAACAGAGAAGAGATATATCGGGCTTTTTGAGTTTGACAGATTTCATTTGGGTTTTCTTCCACAGCCAACATCGTTCATGTGAAAATACATCGCATTCCTATGCGTTTGAATAAGATGTAATATGAAAAAAGTGTAAACCGCTAAACATGCATAAACTAGTCTTACAGTTATGAATGAATAAGTCAAGAACGAATGAGTTCAATTGAATATGTATTAAATATACAACTGAATATACAGTTGGAAATGTTTTTTTGGCTAGTGAAAATGTGCAATTTCTCTGATCGTGAGATCAACATAATAACTATTATGCTGATGATTGTCCTAGCGTCAACGACTTCATTATTATATTTCCTACTTATATTAACGGTGTAGACAATCCTGGATTAGCGGTTATATTACCGCTATAGAGGGGACATCGGTCACTAAAATATACTTTCGGTGTTTCCCTTAAGCGATTCTTGTAGACGTTTATAGAAGTTTGATAAAGTACCTATCGTTTCAACTTTGTATGCATCGTGCTTCTCGCAGACGTCATCCATTATGCTGTATAGATTGTTTAGCAAGCGAACCACTTCCAGGGGGGTGCAGCCAGACGATATGCTCGTGAAGCCAACTATGTCCGAGAAGAATATCGTGGCGGAGGAGAATCCCTCTGGATTAATTGGCTCGCCATTAGCCAGGCGCTCCGCTACGGATTCCTTTTCATCAAAAGAAAGGAATTTTGCACAGGGGAGAGATAGTGATCCGCTAGGGGACGGCTCTGATTGGCTAATTTTGTCTCTTATTTATTTTATTTGTTATTATTTTTGGCTAATTTTGTTTTATTTTAAAATTAGGGATAGGGTTAGGGTTAGGGTTAGGGTTAGGATTAGGGTTATGGTTAGAATTAACTGATTTCTAGATCCACAACTTATTTCTATATTCACTATCTCTCCCCTGAGACCCACTAAAAAGAAAGTATACGTGACTCGCAAGAATGCAACGACCGCCGCAAATGAGTCATCGCCGACATTCCTACTGTGGCGCTCCACTACGGATACGGATCCTTTAAGCGAAAAGGGGTTGTCTATATTCAGGCCGGTACAGGAGATAATTTGCACATTTTGTCACGTGGTTTGTGTTATAACTAATCAGATGTAAT